CCCCTCAACTGCAGGTACCCATTCCCTCATCAAACGGTGTTCCAGACAGACTGCCAGCTGGGGACAGCCAGAGGCTTGCTGGACAGTGACACTCTGGCTAAGGTGTTCTGCCTTTCCTTTGAGTTTGCCATAGACTCACATGCTGGGGGTGAGGGGCATGACGGTGCAGAGACCCTGAGCACCCACTGCCCGATGTTCGCTAGCGGAACCACAGGGCCATAGCAGGAGACCACACCCAGTATCCACACGCTGCCCATCCTACCTGTACCCACATGAACGTGTGCTCATGTGTGAGGTTCTGGCAATTTTCGTCTTCGTGGCATAAAGCATATGTCACATGAATCTGCCATMCACCCTCCTGTAAGTGCACACCTCAGCAGCCTCAAGCACATTCACGCAGCTCTGCAGTTGCCACCACTGTCTGCCTTGGGACTGCTCCTCTTCCCTCTGGAGCCATTGCCCATGAGACTCCAGGGTCCTTTATGGGGTGCTGAGGGCAAAGCAGGGCCTCAGGCAGGCCAGGCAGGCCAGGCAGGCACCCTGCCTCTGCGCGCCTCCCAACCCCACCCACAGCACTGTGTGGATTTAGGACCCCTACCTCTGTTGACCCTCCTACTGCCCTTGCCTGGCAGTGGCATCTCCCTGTCCCCCATCTCCCACCCCTGCAGCCCCTGCCTCTGTGCAATCTGCTGCAACACAGACAGTCACAGCGGTCCACCCTGGGGACATGGCCTCTGCACCTGTCTGGCCTCCAGGCAGCTGGTCAGGGCAGGCGGCTTCCCACTCCATGTCCTTTAACTGTGTCCCCTACTGGTGAACACCTTCACATACCCTAACACGAGTACACTCAGTATGCCTGTCCTTCACATCTGGCCCTGGTGCCAGTGTTGTCTCAGGTGTTGGGGACACTGCACACAAAACCATGTCACCTTCTCAGGCAATGTGTGAGGGTGGCAGCAGGTGCTGAGGGCCTAGATGGTGGGCTGTCTTTGCTTCCTGAATGGGGGGCATTTTGTCACAGGGGTCAGTAGGAGGCTGTAGTCTAGGTTGTGCCCTCAGCGTGGCCAGGGAATAGCTGGCAGGGCAGCAGGAGCCCTGTCCTCTGAGTGGGCAGAGGAATTTATCACGCTCAGGGTCCTGCACCTGCCAAATGGAAAAGGCACAGGGCGGGGGGGGGGCATTAGAAGGTTGCAGTGATAATCCCAAGGGAGGAGCTGAGGCTGATGCATTGACGTGGATGAAGACAGGGAGAAGGGAGGGACTCACAGACGCCCCAGCCCATGGCACGACACCCCTCCTAAGGCACATGTGGCATCAGAGAAGGGGTGTCACATGGGGCTGATAGGCCAGCACTCATGTCCACCCCGAGTTTCAGGATACACCTTGGTCAGAAAGAAAAGCTCTGTCAATGTAGTCAGAGGAGGGCATCCTGAATTTAGAGAGCACCTTATGTCCAATAATGGGTTCCTAAGAAGAGGACAAAGGAATACAGGGAGATGCCACATGAAGATGGCAGCAGAGGTCTGAGGATAGCAGTAGCCACTGGGAGCTGAAAGAGGACACAAGGACGCTCCCTAGGGATTCTGACACTTGGATCCTAGGCTTCTGGTCTCCAGAACTGGGAGGGAATGCCTCTGTTGTCCCACATCTGGACTTGTCCTGGCCCCCTGGGGAGTATCAGGTAGCTCTGCCTCAGCTGGGCCTCTGGTTGCCAGGCTGGCCAGGCGGGACCACACTATGGACCCAGGGCAGAGTAGGAGTGGCAGGGCCCTTGGGGTTCTGGCTGGGGCTGCCCCATTGGTCAGGGCAGGTTGGGACACCTAGGCGGGCTCCACTTGCACTCTCTCTGCCACTAAAGCAACCAACTGCCTATGGCTTCCATCTTCTGGGGCTAAGGGAAACCTGCTCTGCTGGAAAACAGGCCAGCCCCCTTGGCCTTCCCAGGCTTTTTATGTCCCTGGAAACATYGTGCCCTGCTGGCTTCTATTTCCCACCATCGATAGGAAGGAAATGTGGCAGGTGGGAACCTCTGTGCACAAAGGAAGTGTGGGCTAGACACATCCACAAATCTTGAAGCAGACCTGGGGCAGTAGATGGGAGGACAGGCTGAGAGCACACCCCCAAAGCCCTCCTGGAACTGGAGGCTTGGTCTCTGGACCAAGTGGATAGAAGCTCTAGAGCAAAGGTGCCAGGCTAAGGGTGGAGTACAGGACTCAAAGCTGGGGAATTTAGGGACATTTTGTATCCTGAAGCTTGGGTCTCCATTTTCAGGCCTGCTTCCAGAAAAAATCATGGAGTAGCCAGATTGCAGCTCATGGCTGATACCCATGCAGAACCATTGGGGGTGACTATCCACAGGAGGCAGTCTCCCAAGCAAGACAGACTGAGGACTGCCTCAGGGCAGGCCAGACCCATCTTGGAGGGCCTCTGGCCACTGCTTGTAGGTGGCTGACCCACATCCAAGAGAAAACCTCCAGCAACAAAAAGCTGGCTTACTGAAGTGTCTGAGAAATGTCACGAGTCAGTGAGGACAGATAATGGGAGACAGAAAACAACACAGAGGAGATATATACAGCCTGCCCTGGTACAGGGCTCCTTAGGTACAGTAAGCACTGGAGACTGGTGTGAGGTCACTGAATAAGGGAGCTGGGATGGAGTGGGAGGGGGCAAGCAATTGGGATGGCAGGACAGGGAGTTGTGATGGAGGAGGGGGCAGAAAGTTGGGATGAACAACAGGGACAGGGCAAGGCTGCCTGAGTCTTCTAGCACAACCTTCCCGTTTGAATAAGTAAATGTACCCAGTACTGGTGCCCACTCACTTATTCCACAGATACTTGCCCACAGCCTTTTTGGGGTCAGCTCCTTTAAGGCTGCTAGGGCAGAATAAGAACCAAAGGCCCTGTGTGGGAGGACTGGTGCTCCGTTCTGCCTTGGAAGGCAGAACCTGCCTCATGACTGGTGCAGGGGAATGCACCTGCCACTAAAGGCTGGGGCAGATGGCCACCTGAGGCTGGCCTTCAGCTGCAGGAAGAGGGGAGAAGGCAAGGTCAGAGGTGGTTCGCGGGGACACTTAACTAGTATCTGGAACCAGGGAAAAGGGGAGATATCTGATAGGGACAGGGTTTCTTTGGGGACTGGAAACCTCTGGATGCAGTGACAGGCACACAACCCTGAGTGTCTACTAACCACCACAAGGCAGGCTTTAAGAGGGTGAGTTGAGGGGCTGGGGCTCAGTGGCACAGTGCTTGCCTAGTATGCGTGAGGCACTGGGTTCCATCCTCAGCACCACAAAAATAAATAAAGAAGGTTTAAAAAAAAATTAGGGGCTGGGGTTGTGGCTCAGTGATAGAATGCTCGCCTAGTATGCATGAGGCGCTGGGTTCGATCCTCAGCACCAAATAAAAATAAAGATATTGTGTCCACCGAAAACTAAAGAAAAAAAATTAAAAAACCAGAATGGAAAAAAGAAAACTGTCTGTAAAAGGAACCTGGCAGGTAGACTGAGTCCAATTTTCCTTCCTAAAGGAGAATAGTGTTAGGAAGCCACAGGGCTTTCTGTTGTCAGGAAAGCTCAGGCAATACCAGCGATGGTGTGGCAATGGTCTCAGCCAAGGACTGATAGTTGTGTCCTCAACTCTTGAGGAGCCAGCCCAGACCAAGGCCTCTGAACCACAGGGAGGCTGGGCGGGGGCTGTGACGGGGTCAGGGAAGGGAGGCCCTGCACAAAGATGAAAGCTATGGATAATTAACGCTCTCAGGCCAGGCTTGACTACAAAACCCTTTGTGGTGGCCTGAAAGAGAAAGCAAACAGATGCAAGACCCATCCCTGGTTTCTAGAGCACGAGGACCTTTGAAATTACAAGACATTAAAATAAAGCTTTGGGTAAAGGACCTCATGTTCTAGTTGCAGATTTGATGTTAGATCAAAACGGAATTGCTCCTGAAAGCCTAGGCACAGGCCTATTATTCAAGGCAGCTCAACCCCAATGCACAGAAAGGACCTCTGCACAGAGCATTCCTGGCTGGCCTAAGATCCCGTGGCAAACCTCACCCTGTGACAGGTATCTCCCCAAATGCTGAGGGCCCCTTCTCTGTCTTCTGTTGTCCCCGCCATTCTGATGGTCATCAGGGACATGTCAGAGAGACACTGGGGTCTTAGGGGCAGCATTCTTAAGGGGAGGCCACCTTCATCCTGCCCCATTTGTACTCAGTGAGGTGCCTGGGGCAAACTCGAGCCCCCCATGGGAAAAAGACTGCTTTCTAGAGCATAGCACCTGGAAGAGAGAGCATAGCTCTTGTCGGCAGTTCAGCCTTAGGAAGAGGGCCAATAATGTCCCTACAGGACCTGCTGAGTCTTGGTGACTGCCTGGCCCAAAGCAAGGGTTCTCTTCAAATCCCAGCAAGCAGAGCACTGCTTTGGCTGCCTGCTGAGAGTGATGCTGGCCATTCAGGCTCCTGTTGCCTGCAGTTAGCAACCTGCTGTGCACACTGAGCAGAGCCAGAGGCAGGGCGTGCCTGTGCCAGATATTGGGTGCACTCAGTCGCGAAGCCAGGTCCGTCTTGGTGTTTGGGAGTAGCAGGCAGCACCACTGAGAAGCTGTGCCCAGGCCCTGCTGCACCACAAGGCTGTGGGTCACAGGCAGTAGACACCAAAGGCTGCCTCTGCCACATGTGCTAACATGCGCGAGCCCCAGGCTCTGGCTGCGCTCTTCTGCTGAGCTCCCCCAGCAGCCTGTGCGTGCACAGCAGCAGCAGCAGCAGCAGCAGCAGCAGCAGCAGCAGCAGCAGCGTTTGCTAACATCAGCCAGTGGCATGGTGGTCCTCCTAATTAGGGGTGTTAATTAGCACAAATGAGTCAAGTTAGCAAATTAGTCAGCAAGGCACTTCGGAGCAGGTGGTGTCAGGTGGCAGAGAATGCTCCACCACCTGGGGGAGCACTAGGCCAGAGAGTGGGGGAGCCCTAAGTTGGCAGGGAAAACAGAAGCACCAACACTCTCCAATATTTACAAGCACTTTCTCTAATGTGTTCAAAACCACCCACATTTTATAATCAGGAGGCCCCTGTGTCCACTGCCTGTGCAGTACCCTGCCCTGGGACACAGGTGCCACTGTGTACTGCTACCACCTGAGAGGCTGGCTGCCTCGCTTTAGCTCAGCCTCCACGTAGGCCCTGTGTAGCACCTGCAGGTGCAGCAGCAGCTGTTCCAGGTTCTCCCCAGTCACTGCCGACAGGGCGATGACCTGTCCCACGTGGTCCTGGAGCTGGGGCAGATGGGCTCTGGCCTGGGGGAGATCAATCTTGTTTGCAACAACCACATGGGGCCTCTCAGATAGGCCTTCTTGGTACTTTTCCAGTTCGTACTTTAAATCCTCCACTTGAGTCCATGGCTCTGGTAGGGAAAGGTCCACTATGAACAAGAGGAAGCGGCAGCGCTCAATGTGCCTGAGGAAGCTGAGTCCCAGACCCTTGTCCTGGTGGGCGCCTCGGATGATGCCCGGGATGTCTGCCACTGTAGGAAACAAGAGCATAGGGTCATGGTGGGCCCCACAGGCTGGACTGACTTTCAACCTCAGGGATGGGAGTGGGGCCTGAAGCCAGGGCTCCTTCAAGGATCCTGGGAGGTGCAGCGTTTTACCCGGTGGCTGGGGGGCCAGACCCTGGGGTTGCCTCGGCCTTCAGATCTGCAGAATGCAAGATGATGCTGATCTGATGAGGAGTGCTTAACTCGTTCCTGTCCTTCCTGGCTTCAAACATGATCCAAAAAGGAAAAACGGCTTCCTGCACTCTATTAATAATTTGATTACTGAGGGAAACCATTATGGAGCACTTTGCAAACATAAAGTGCTATACAAACCACCTTTCCAGCAGGCTATTTTTAATGGGTACATTATCTTCTGGAAAAGGTTTTCTTCTCTCAAAATGGTACAGGGAAAGCTTTTTAAATCACACATCGTCTACATCAGGGCAGAGTTCACAATGGAAGAATGAAGCCGTGGCAGAACTCCTCAGGTTGGAAACTTGTACTCACAGATCTGACCTGAAACTTGGATTCCAGGGGGTGGTGCTGATTTTAGGACAGAACAGACTCACTAAAATTGTTTCAGTTAGGAAAAACAGTAAGCTAAGCTTGGGAGTTGGTTATTTTCCTGAATTGCTCAGATCACCTCAACTCCCCTGGGGGCAGATTCTGGATGCTCTACCTGCTACCTGTTGGTGACCTTCATAGTGAACAATCCCCACGTGGGGCTTCAAGGTGGTGAACGGGTAGGAAGCCACAGCAGGTTTTGCATTTGAAATGGCCCGGAGGAGCGAGGACTTCCCAGCATTGGGAAAGCCGACCTAGAAGACAGAGAAGATAGCCCCGTGACTCTGGGAAGGCCCTTCATGCTGCAGTTGGCAGCTGGCTGAGATGGGACCAATGAGCTGAGAAGCTGTTACTGTCTCCTAAGCCAGTAGCTCGTCTTGCCACCAGGGACCCACCATCCCAGCATGGGCCACCGTCTTGAGCTCCAGGTGGAGAACGCGTTCCTGACCCGGCTCTCCAGGGGTACAAGTCACAGGGGCTCGGTTGTCATTGGCCAGGAAGAAGCGGTTGCCTTTCCCGCCTGCCCCGCCCAGTGCAGCGATGTACTCCTGGCCCCGCTGGGACAAGTCGGCCACRACCTCACTGCCTTCCTTCACCAAGGTGCCCACGGGAACCTGAAAGCAGCATGGTATTCATGAGTTACAGTGCACAATCAGGGAGGGGGCTGCAAGGTAACCTCTCCTCTCACAGCCACCAAGCATAAGCCTGGCCACCAAGAGTTCCATGGGGCTGTTCACAGTCAATCAGACTGCTCAGTGGCTTTAGCAGTGTTTTTAAGTGTTTCTAAAATGAGAGGACTGCCTTGGCCAGAGACGGGCACAGGTGTGCTCTGTAAGTTGCCCCCTTTGAGGCCTCTTCACCTGCACAGGGCCCACACTAGTGCACAAAGACCTGTGCGGCATGTACTCCCCCTGCCTTGTCACCCGTGCCTTGAGCAATTGATGCCAATGACAGGAGAGGTGGATACAACAGTTGGGCTTACCCGCACGAAGAGCATGGCGCCACTCCGGCCAAAGCAGTTCTTCCTGCCACCATCTTCTCCACTGAAACCCTGATACTGGGATAGGACCGACGACAGCGACTTGACTTGCTGGTCAGCTAGAGGCAGAGCAAGAACGAAGACGTCCCTTTGGGTTGAGACAGAACAAGTGCCTGCGGCTAATGTTCTGTCTTGCCCAGGAGCCTTAAGATGCACACGAGATAAGGAACAGAGCTGGGGCAGGCATTACTCATGAGCAACACAATTAAAAATCAAGCTCTTACTTTCCTTCAAAGAAACTTCCATTCCTGAAAATTCTGAAGTTACTCATGATGCCATCAATGTAAAAAAAGCTCTATTTTACTATGCTGTAGATGCTCTGCTCCTAGCTTCTGCAGCACTTGGGCTTATGTGTGCTGACTAAGACTGAGGCTCTGACATCTACTATCATGCTAAGATTCCTAAAAGCAAACTACGTTTGTGTCCCGGACAAAAAAAGAAAGCACTAGAGGCTGATTTCTTTCTTTAGCGCACTGTTCTTTTGTTTGGCAATATTGGACACTGAGCCCAGGGCTTGCACATGCTAGGCAGCACCCTACACCTACACCCTACACCTCATCTTTCTCTCTCTCTCTCTTTTTTTTTTTTTGTGGTGCTGGGAATTGAACCCAGGGCCTTGTGCATGTGAGGCAAGCACTCTACCAACTAAGCCCTGTCCCCAGCCCCCTGCTCTCTCTTATTTTTGAGACAGCATCTCACTAAGGTGCAGAGCCTGGACTTAAACTKGCAAGTCTCCTGCCTCAGCCTCTCAAGTGGCTGGAATTAGGGGCTGCACTACCGTGCCTGGCTTTCAGTGCACCATTTATGAACATCCACAGGCTTTATAAAAAGTCTACATATCAAGTATTTAATGTAAGACACGTCAGGATAAGAAGGTAGATGTGAGGACCCGGCTCTTCCCCAGATACTCCCAGGGCACGTGCCTCTCAGGATGACATGGCCACCGTTGCCACCATCTCCACCATCAGGGCCCCCGAATTCCTTGCGGGGCTCGCTGTGGAAGCAGCTCACGCCAGAGCCTCCATTTCCTCCTCGAACAAGCACTCTCCGATGGTCCACAAAATACCTCTTCTACAGAAAGCACAGACACCTACAGCGTTAGCTACACCCCACTGTCCTTCCAAGAGACCAAGTATCCATGAGAAATATGCCTTTTTATAAAATTAGAAGTTTATGGTGATAGTATTATTAATCTCTCCTAAAATCCAAAGATAAAAATCAGTTCTCACAAGTCATGACAATTTTTTTAGGCTTCAGTTCCTTCAAAAAGGAACTCGGCATTTCCAACCTAAAGAGAACCCAGCTGTCTCCAATGGGACACATTACCAACAGTCCGGTCTTCGCTAACATTCTAGTTCTAGTTCTGTAGGCTGCAGCAAGGTTAAGGTGGAGTCTCTCCTGGACTTTCAGCTGTGAAGAGAGGAGACTCTCTGTCCCTAACTGCTAGGGCTTCTCTGTGACATGCAGAGAGGTGGTACACAGAGCCCTTCTTCAGAGCAGCTCTCTCTACAGGTCCTGAAGGCAGGCACAACCAGCTAAAGAAGCAGAACAACTAACTAGTTTAGTTAACACATGTTAGCTCGTCTTACAGGTCCAGCTACCCCAGGCCCCAGGCACAGTGCCCATGCCCAAAATGTATCCATGGGGACACCTGCTTTCTGCAGGTCTGCAAGGACAGACATACCCTTGGGCCCTGACAGTCCTCTGCCTTCCTCAGGACTCAGGTCATGTGTATTTCCCACCCAGTGGGTTATGTAAAGAGTTTGATTCCCCAGTACCATCACTTGGAACCATGAATTACCATTTCAAAAACTCATTGTGCCATTTTGCTATGTGCCAACAAAATCAGGACCCACCTGATTGGGGAAAAACAGAAGTGGTAAGATGCAGACTTGGGCCTAACTCAGGAAGGGGCATTCCCTCGGCCACCAGATGCCAGATCCTTGATCTGCCTGCTGCCTGCCCAAGTTCCCCACTCTCTTCTCTTCTTTTGTAAACAAGTGGCTAGGCAGGCATTGCTTTGCTCCTGAGCTGACCAGAGTTCCTCCTCTGGAGGCCCTGCTCTTAGAATGCATCTGGAGCACTGCAGGAGACTGAGTGAGATGCAAACATGTATTTTTCTTCTTCTTTTTTTGATACTAGGGAATGAACCCAGGGGCACTTAACCACTGAGCCACATCCCTAGACCTTTTTATACTTTATTTAGAGACAGAGTCTCAATGAGCTGCTCAGGGACTTGCTAAATTACTGAGGTTGGGATTGAACTCATGATCTTACTGCCTCAGCCTCCCAAGCCACTGGGATCATGGGCATGTGCCACCATGCCCAGCTGTATTTTCTTAAATTTAGTTAAAAGACCATTCTTGTTTTAAATAGGTTTTGGTAAACAGAAGAAGAATAATTGTAATACTTAAACTATAAAACCAAAGGGTCACTTCTCCATGGACATTTTAGGTTAAGATCCCTTCATTCTTACATGCCGGCTATTCAGGCCAGTAACACATGAGCAGCCCTGCACTGCCACACCTTCCAAGGTACCCTGGCCCTCCTTGGGCTACTCTCAGTGACAGCACAGTCCTTGAAGAGCCACATTTAAGAGGCTCTTCAGTCCCTTCAGTAACAAAATCAGCATATGTGACACCCTGCTACCTTCCAAAGGGGAGCCCATGGCAGGGTGCTCCCAGCTGAGAAATCTCACCAGTTTTTTCTCAGAGAGTGGCTTCTTTCCAGGGGTCTCCTGACGCTTGGCGTGGTCCACGCAGCCCACTGACAGCATCCTGGGTGAAGCCTGCTGTGGAAGGAGCCGGCAGGGCCTGAGGCTGGCCTGTGCAGATGGGGTCCACTGTGCCAGGCCCTCCAACAGGGTCTGAGAGCTTGCTGAGAACAGCCTCACAGGGATCATGGCCCCTAAAATGAGCCAAATGGGCAAAATAAGATGTTTGGTTGAACCCTGAATGTCAAGCTGAAGCTAAAGCAAAATGCCTGGTGCATGGGAGAAAGAACCTGGGTGCCTGAGAGAGACAGGACCAACCAATAATCCATGTTTCAATGCTAAGCACCTGGCATCCTGTGGTGCCCACCAGCCCATTTGTGATGTAAGCAGAATATGCACACAAAGATCAAAATCATCAGGTCTGCCACCGGACTGGGACTTCCCTGGGGAATATCAAGTAGCTGCTTAATGCAAATGTTAAAAGGCAAGCAAAACCTCAAGTCAAAATTGTTTCAAAATAAAAATATCCATTTGTCCAAGTGTAACTGAGTGTGTTAATCCCCTGCAGCTTCAAATAATTAAACTGGAATGTGAGAACACTGGACATTTTAGGTTGAGATCCCTTCATTCTTTTTTTTTTTTTAATATATATATGAGTTGGGCACAATACCTTTATTTATTTTTACGTGGTGCTGAGGATTGAACCCAGGATCTCACAGGTGAGAGGCGAGCGCTCTACCACTGAGCCCCAGCCCCAGTCTGAGCGCTCTACCACTGATTCCCAGCTCGAGATCCCTTCATTCTTACATGCCGGCTATTCAGGCCAGTAACACATGAGCAGCCCTGCACTGCCACACCTTCCAAGGTACCCTGGCCCTCCTTGGGCTGCTCTCTGTGACAGCATAGTCCTTGGCACAAGGCCCCATTCAAGAGGCTCTACAGTCCCTTCAGTAACAAAATCAGCATATATGACACCCTGATGCCTTCTGAACAAACTCCCAGCCTTGCCACTCTCCTTGGCACGACCCAGGGAAGGTTACACACCTGCTGCCTCAGTCTCCTCACCTGAAAATGGACAGGGATGGTGAGGACAGGCTGAGCTGACCCACCAGGACAGAGCAGCACTGGCTGTCCCACTGTGATGTGATGAGCAACAGCTACTTGGTCTCTGCCCTGGGCCTGACCCCACATTCCAGACCCTAGCGATTCTCTCCCTGAGTGATGGGAAAAACAGGAGTAAAGAGTGGCATCTGACCAGAGCACGCACCCCTCGGGACTTGTGGAGTGCAGGGGGGGATGCTTGCTTTATGAGGTATTCTCAGTGACCCCTGGATAGTTTCAGGACAAGAGCTGGTCACCAGAAAGAGCAGGCCTGGAGCAAACCTTGGGACTTTCACCTCACCCTGTCCTCCAGCAAAGAGAAGGGCTGGGACTGAGCCAACAAGTGATCACACCTCATGAGGAACCTCCACCAACACCCCAAGCCATGGGGTCTGGAGTGTTTTCGGGCCAAACTCTTCATATGCTGGAGGGTCCCACACCCAATTCCACAGGAGCAGAAACTCCCATACTGGGGGCCTTTCTGTGGCTGTTCACTGCATCCTCTGCGGTCTCCTTACAAATAATGGATACTTTACAACAAACAAGTAAATGCTACAAGTTTTCCCGAGTCCTGTGAACCTGCGGAGAGGATGGAGGAACCCTCCTTGTTGTAGAAAAGTCCGACAGAAGTGTGGGTACCTGGAGACCCATTACTTGCAACTGGTATCAAGACAGGGGTGGTTCTATGTAACTGAGTATACGGCCTATGAGGTCCCCTTTCCCTGGCATAGTGTCAGAATAGACTTGAATCGTGGGGCACATAGCTGGCATTCCAAAGAGCTAGAGAAGAGCTTGGTATGAAGATCTACACACGGGGTGAGTGTTCTGGGGTGGTGTGGACAGCAGCAGCAGCACTGGTCCAGGGCACGCTCTTCGTGAGCTATTTCCCAGTGCTGTCAGTGCACTGCATCCAGCTTCCCTGCCATCCACCACTCCCAGGCAGTCTGAGGTTACTCAAGAAGTTGAACTGGTTAGAAAAAAAAAAACATTCCCCAAACAAAATCCCAGACTCAGGCTGTTTTCCTGATAAATTCCATCAAACATTCAAAGAATAACCAGTCTTAAACACACCTTTTCAGAAAGGAGAGGAGCTAATGGTGACTATATAATTTTATAGGCCAGTAAAGCCCCAGTACCAAACCTAACTTTACAAAAAGAAAGAAGAGAGTAATACCGCTTGTGCATAGGCACGAAGGACCCATAGGCAAAACAGTGCTTGTCCCTTTCCATCCTGGCAGCATGGAAAGGGACAAGCACCAAGACTCAGGAGGAGCTGCCCCAGAACACACAGGCAGAACCCACGGGGCACCTCACCATGGTAGCAGACCCTACAACCACTGCAACAGCAAACCAGGAGAAGGGTGCACTGCCCCACTGACAGAAGGTCTCCCAGGGCTTCCAGCTACATTCAGTCATGGTGGAGAAAAAGGCAAGACAGCCATGCTGAGCACCCCTATGCCACACAGTCCTTGCAGACATTGCAATAAAAGAACGGAAGGAGGAGGAAGTAAAACTCCCTGTTTACAGAAGAGACGAGGGATTCCACAGAAGGCCCCGGGAAATCTACAAACCAACAATCTGAATCAAGAAATGAGGCCGAAAGCAGGAGGATCAAGAGCTCAAAGCCAGTGTTAGCAGCAGCAAGGTGCTCAGCATCTTAATGAAACCGTCTCTAAATATAATAAATAGGGCTGGGAATGTGGTTCAGAGGTCGAGTGCCCCTGAGTTGAATCCCCAGTTACCCTCACCCTGTTCCCCCCCTCCAAAAAAAATGAGCTGGACAAGGTTGCAGGGTACAAGGTTACACTTAGAAATCAACTGTGTTCTTATACATTAGTAGCAAAATAACTGGGAGGGCTGGGATTGTAGCTCAATGGTATAAACCTTGCTTAGCATGTGCGAGGCCCTTGGTTTGATCCTCAGTACCACATAAAAATAAATACATTGGAGRCAGAGAGGTGACTTAAAAGAGGGGACCAGGAAGGAGCGTAAAAACTGGTGGTTGGGAGAGAAACTTGCAGCTCACCCACACAAGTGCGCCTGCAGCAACTTGGCCAGAAACTCATGCTGTCTTGGAGCCCGAGCCCTGAAGATCAGTGATGAAGAAGCAGGTTGACTGCAAAGCCCCCTGAGATCTGAGCTCCAAATCTTGCTTGATTTGGCGTACCTCCTTTCTGACCTTTTGACTAGAGTTGAGGGAACCCACTGATGATGCAGGCCTATTTGCCAGGGGAACAGATTCTACACTCTGCAGTGCTGATTGGTGGTCCTGATTTCCTTTCTAATGAGGCTATTCTTATGCTATCCATTATCGTAACCCCTATTAAGTTTGGATCTATTAAGTTTCAATTAATTAAAATTGAATGAAATGTGAACTTGGTTCCTCAGCCCTACAGACACTCAGCCACACGTGGCCAGGGCAGCACACTGGGCAGCAAGTGTGGGGAGCTGTGATCATCACAACTCTCCTCAGGCTCCGGGAAACAGTGCCCCTGTGCTGGGCCCAGCTGAGCACACAACAATAAAGACGACCCAGGATCGGGTCTGACAGAGACAAGCCTGGCAGCCTCAGGGCAGGGCTTTTACAGACTTAGGTGGACACCGTCGCTGTGGTTCTAGGGTCAAGCTCGGCTTGTACTGGTCCACAGGTTACTGCCAAAACCTCCCAGAGAGGCTGAGGCTCAGCCCTTACAAGGCTGCCGTGTCAGGAGCCTCACCAGGACCCACCGCCTGGAAGGAAAGCGGGAGGGYTTCCCGCCAGTCCGGTCCGGCCCAGAAGGTCAGGGCGGCACTCACGGAGTCACCTCGGGCCTCTGCCGGTCCTGCCCGCTGCTTCCCCCCTTCGGAGTCCAGGGCAGGGGCACTGCCACTCTCCGGCTCCCCGGTTGTGGCGCCTGCCTCCTGAGGCCCTGCAGGGCGGTCAGGGCGGAGACCCCGGGCGGCCACCCGCCGAGGCACCGCTAGCTCTCCGGGGCCCCAGCTGGAGCGGGGGCGCTCAGGGCGCGGCGCGCACGCGGGCGTCGCCGGGAACTAGGGCGCGCGAGGGACCCCGCGCCACCCACCACCTCTGGGCGCTCTCCCGCACGCTCCGGGGAGGCCTCCGGCGCCCCAGACCCGACCGCCGGCCCGCGGAGCTCGGCGGCGCCGCCGCGACCCACGGGAAAAGGCCCGGCCGCCCGCCGCGATCCTGCCGGCCCCAGGAGCCACCACTTCCGGGGCACCCACCGCTTCCGGGGCTGGACCCGGCCGCGCCTGCGCAGGTCCCGCAGCGCGCGGCCCCGCCCCGCCCCCGGCCCCGCCCCCCTGTGCAGTTCGGCGCCGGAGACTGGACGCTCGGCACCGGGCTCCGGAGCCGCGCCYGCGCCCTATTTTTGTACTTTTAGAGACCGGGTCTCACCGAGTTGCTTAGCGCCTCGCTGTTGCTGAGGCTGGCCCTGAACTCACGATCCTCCTGCCTCAGCCTCCCGGCCGCAGGGATCTCAGGCTGGCCACCGCGCCGGCTCCCGGGGGCTTCCGAGAGCGGTTTTAGGTCGCACGGGAAACGTCGTTTCTACCCCGACCCCCAAAAGGGAGCCCCTAGACGGCCTCGGAAATGTCCTGCACCTGCTCCGTGACAGGAACCAGGCAGTGGCCCCAAACACCCGCGAGCGTCGAGCTGCGGAGACTCCGCCCGCGGGGGCACAGGAGGCCTCGGTGCAGCCCGGCCCTGGCCGTCCCCTCGGAGGCCACGTTCCCCGGCGCCCGTGGAGGCACGAGGAGTCCAGAGGGGCCTCCGGACACGCGGCTCCCAGGACGCCCGAACCCCGAGGGGAGGAGCAGCCGTCCCCTGGGCTGAGCCCGCCGGGTGGGAGGGGCGGGGAGCTCTCGCGGCTCCCCCGGCACTGGTGGCCGTAGGCAGGGGACAAAAACCAGGGCACAGCCATCCGCACCGCACGACAGTTCATTTAGCCCAACTTTCAAACGTTCACGTTACAGAAGAGAAGACATAATACAGCCAATGAAATAACTGTTGGCAACACTGTTCCCCACAATATTACATAAAAGTGGACAAACATTAAATAAACATTCTGTTATTAATCAATAAATATATTAACACTGAAAATCATGTATAAATTAGGAAATAAATGTACAAACTATTTCACAAAGTGCTTTTTAAAATATATACACAACATTCAAGAAATTCTTAATGTAAGACATTCCAGATTGAAGTTTTGGGGTAATAAGTTTTTAAAGTATCCTCCTCTTTCAAAAAACATTGACACGATCCTTAGAAAAACGGGGGGGGGGGCGCTGGGGGCTGGGGCTGTAGCTCAGTGGTGGAGCGCTTGCCTAGCATGTGTGAGGCCCTGGGCTGGATCCTCAACACCGCATAAAAATAAAGAAATAAAATAAAGACATGCTGTCCACCTACAACTACAAAAAACAAACAAAAACACCCACACCGCACACACACGGGGATGGAACTATCTTCACGGTTACCTGACGTGTCCAACATTTTCAAGCAGTCCCCAGCTGAGTTTGCAAATCACTTCTATAAAAATTTCCAGAAAGGAACAAAATCAAGAGATGACCCCTAAATGAAATAGCCAGTGCCTCTGTGATTTAACATTTAAGAACTCTCATTTCTGTAATTTAATATGGGCATGATATTTTTAAGCCCTTATCAGTGTTAAGGATTTCTTTTTTAAAAACCCTATGCCTATAACATAAATACTGAAATGCCCATGTTCTCATAGGAGAGTGGAAAATGTCCTAGAACAGGAATGACAGTCAAAAGAGAAAAGTCCTTCCATCTGAGCCTTGGTTCTTCTCTATTAATGGCAACAGTACCTCCATAGTTCCCAGCAGGACTGCCAGGATTAACTGCAGCAAAAATAGTGAAAGTGAAAAATCAATAAATAAACAAATATGTCCTGTAAATTCTGAAGTACTCAACTCTGGACCAAAGAATTAACTTTTGCTGTAATCCCAGCTACTCAGGAAGCTGAGGCAGGAGGATGGCAAGTTTGAAGCCAGCCTGAGCAATTTAGTGAGATCCTGTCTCAAAAAAATAAATAAATAAATAAAATAAGGGTTGGGGAGTACTCAGTGGTACAGCTGCCCTGGGTTAAATCCCCAGTACGGGGGGGGGGGGGGGGGGGAGAGAAGAAGAAGAAAAAAGAAAAAGAAAGAAAGAAAAAAGTAGATAAACTTTTAAAACATAAAATTGATTAAAGAAAACATTGTCTTTAGTAGGCCTAACATCTCAAGCACTGGAAAATCTTTGTATTTTCTGAGTCATTTTTGGAAATACATCAGCATTTATACAAATATTTCTTTTTAAAAAAAGGATTCACGGTAAATACAGTGGTCGTTATCACCCAGGTAAAGGCTGATCAAGGGTCCGTGCTCCTACAGGTGGAAGCGCAGGCTTTTTCCTTTGGCCATGATTTTCCAAGTGTGCCGTCTTGATATTTGCACAGAAGATAAATGGGGTTGAATGTCCTAGTGATGTAAGAGTCACTCACTTTTCATCATATAAAACCTTTACTTTTCATTCAGAAGGACACAGGGAAGTTACTGGGGCTCTTTTCAAAAACAGGATGCAGATCTTAGATATCCCTAAAAGGAAAGAAACGCCTGCTTGGAGATCAGAACAGGTCAGTCCTGGGAGAAATGACACAAAATGAACAGCTTGCCAAGCGCTGGGAGATTTGGTATAAATACTTTAAATTCCTCGAGTTTAAGACTGGGCATATTAAATATTCGAATCCTAGAAAAGACATAAGATGAACAAAGGCCAAAGCTAGGCCCTTTCCGACTGCCCTGCTGGCAGAGAACTGCCCCTGCCTGACACGACTCTCCCTGGGCAGGCTGACCACACACTGCCCTCGGGCTCCTTTATTTGGAATACAGTCGCTGTCCTCTTCACCTTTAACACAGGACAATATCCTTCTGGAAAACAGCCGGCGAGGGGCGAGGCAGTGGAGGGTCTGGTTCCTGCAGGTGAAGCTGTGCATCCTTGTCACACCAAACAGAAACGGGCCCACACACAGGGCCCAGCACTGCTGGGCTCCGGAGGCGACGGGGGCCGAGGGCAGCAGGCAGTGGCCAGAGCAGGAGCTGCTCCGGCCACAGCAGGCAGTGGCCAGAGCAGGAGCTGCTCCGGCCACAGCACACCCAACGGGAGGGAGCAGACCCAGCTTGCTCACGTGAACAAGAGGACCGTGGCACCTTTCAGCTATGTCCCATCGCCAGGCACAGAACACTGAGGATGAGATGACCCCCAAAACTAGCTAGGAACACGGAAAAGAGGGTGGGGGACAGAAATGGGACAACTGCTCCATCGCACTGACATACAACACCACACACGGCACCCCAGGTCCCGGCACAGTGCTGTCTTGCGCCAGAGGTGCAGGTGGCTTCGTACCCAGCATAAGGCGGGCACGTTCACATGCAGGCACGGCGCTGGGCGAGGGGCCAGCAACACGGCACAGTTCATCAGAACCACCACAGCTGTCCAGCGCCCAGACACACTCCCACCAGGCTCCAACAAGAACATGGGTCCTTCATTGCTGGTAGTTTCCGTACTGGCCCTAAAAGAAATCAAGACTTAGAGGTGTTTTTTTTTTTTTTTTTTTTTGTGGTGCTAGGGATTGAACTCAGGGCTCTGTGCATGCCAGGCAAGCACTCTACCAACTGAGCTATGTCCCCAGGCCCAAGACATGGTGCTGAGTAGGAGGGTCGGCACTCAAAAGCAAGGCCAGGCCCACCCCAGCCAACATTCAGGCACACAGGAAAGCCCATCTGGCCTGGTCAGCTGAGAGAACAGCAGCGTTCAGGCCACTCAAAGAGCTGGGCAGCCTGAATGCCTCAGCACAATCCAAGTCCAGCCCAGGGCTTCTCAAGCAGAGCTGATCCTTCCCCAGTGACACCTGGCAGCCTCTGGGTGCACTGGCATCCAGCCAGAGGCCTGCAGAGTGCATCACGGCCCCACAGATCCCTCCAGCCCACAGCCCACCACAGCCCACGGCAGGATCCCACAGCCTGCAGCTGGCCGTGTATCTCCCAGATACACAAATCAGGATCCTGGGAGCTAGATGACACTTTCCCCAAAATGCTATTGCTCTCTTCTCTGAGGCAGGCATAAGACTACAAGTCTTCCAGTCGGCCTATCACGAGATGAGAACGTTCACTTGTTATTTCCTAGTGATTCCAGTTTTGCATCAGGGGCAGGTAGCTGCCTCCTGGATTCCACCGGCGGCTCCCAGTGCACACCCAGAGGCCAACCCCAGAGCCTGTCTGCATGCAGGGCCAGCATGCTGCACCCAGAGCGCTCAGAGGGCACTCTGGACCACGGTCCCCCATGTCCAGTGGTCTGCTCCTTTAGGGACTCTGCCCTGATGGTCACACGGCTGGCTTTACCCCGTGCTCACAATCAGACTTCAGATCGGTTCACCCTTTCAGAAGCAGGATGAGAAGCACTTAAGAAATTTGGGGCTGGGGCTCAGGGGTAGAGCGCTCACCTAGCACGTGCGAGGCCCTGAGTTTGATCCTCAGCACCACATAAAAATAAATAAAATGAAGGTATTGTGTCCAACTATGACTAAAAAGTAAATATTAAAAAAGAAAGAAAGAAAGAAAGAAAACACCCTCTTAGCCACTCAGTTATCCAAGGAAAACAACCATAACATGGTGCTTTGGAATTTCACTAGCTGTGTGAGGTCACTGACGCCTGCTACCTACACGTCACTGTGGAGAGTCACCTTTTGCTAAGGATTGTCTTCAAAGGAAGCTCCAAATAAATGTCTGAGACACACATCTCCCTCTACTGTTCCACACTGCAGCTACCCGGCCTTTTCCCTGCTGTCTACAACACAACAAATCCGCCATTCCCCAGGACTTTTGCACGTCCTCTCCCTGAGCCTGGCTCTTCTCATCCGGGAGGGTGCTTGTCCCTTCAGTGCTTCAGGCACACAGACCCTGTCCTTGCAGTCGCAAAGGGCGACTCCTTGTGAGGCCCGTGAAGCCCTACGCCCTGCAGCCTGTCCCCATCACCTCTTTACTTAGGTATTCACTGGTTTGTTTACTTCTATGGGGTGCTGAGGATCGAGCCCCAAGCCTCCCGCACGCCAGGCGAGCGCCCTACCCCAAGCCCCGACCCCAGTCTCACCACCACCTCTTCCCAGGCTCTTGCTGTGCCCGGGTTCTGGCCACACAGG